GTAAACGTTCGTCCACATCACCTCAGGCAGCAACTTGCGAAAGCCGCCCCTGGCAAAGCATCCTGATTGCATGATCATGTCACAATAGATCTACATACATCCAATACTAGCAAGTGTGCGTATGCACACCTACCTACCTGCCTACCTGCCTACCTACCTTCCTGCCTGCGTGCTTCTCTTCCTGCCACCCTCTCTCTACACCATAACAGGTACACATATGTATATCCTTCCTGATAACTCCGTTAGACTGAGACACGTGGATGCAACTCTGAAGGGGGTCCGACTGAGACGCAGTCTATCGCGTTTGCTGTGGTTGCAGTTGGCTACGCCTGCACATCGAAACTTATTGCATTTCGGGCTTACTTGTCTTGGTACACAGTACACATTGCTCTAGGCCCTAGGCAGAGGACACAAAACACCCAAACACATGCACATCCCTGCATGCATGCATGCATGCATGCACACATACAGCTATACATACATGCACATATGTATATACCTCGCCTGCAGCGTCGAGTGCGAGTGCTAAAAATATACAGATCCACAAATATCTGTGCGACTATATACATATATGTATACAGACGTATGTGTACGGACACGCAGACAGCATTTACACGACATTTATCCCATTTGTATGTATGGGTGTATGTGCAATTTGTGCAGCAAAAGTTGGGACACCAAGTGTTGGGGCACGAAGTGGGAAGTACAGACGCATATGCATATGCACAGATCTACATACATGTCTGTATATATGTATGTATGTACGTATGTATGTATGCATATATGTATATATATATATATACATACATACATATGCATATCGAGATAGGTAGGTAGGTAGGTAGGTAGGTAGGTAGGTAGGCAGGTATATATACACATATATACGTATATGTGTATGTATGTGTATATATATATATATGTGTATGTATCTGTGTGTGTGTGCGTGTGAGTGTGTGAGTGTGTGTGTGTGTGTGCGTGTGTGCGGAGAAATAAAGAATACATAAACATGTATATCTATATGTATGTGTGTGTGAGTGTGTGAGTGTGTGTGTGCGCATGGATAAATAAATCAATGTATATATATATATGTATATATGTATATGTATATGTATATGTATATGTATATATGTACATATGTGTGTACGCATGTACATACATACATACATACATACATGAATGCATGCATACATACATACATACATGCATTACTTACACTACTTACTTACACACATACATACATACATGCAGATATATCTACTTGTATGTGTAAATACGCATACATACATACATACATACATACATACATATATACATACATACATACATCTCTCGCTCTGACTGTCTTTGTTCCTTTCTTCTTTCTCTGTTTCTTTCACAGGGCATAGTGGAGCAGTGGATGCTTTGGGGGAACTTACTCCGCTGTTGGCCGTGATATGTCTCGTGAGAAAGTGTTCCCTTGCAGACGGAATAGCCGCCCCCAAGTAAGTGTGACCATTGGTAATTGCTCCCCAAGGAGCTCGGTCCTAGCCATACCCAGACTCAAGGCAGACTGCGATCTACAATGCCGGCTCCTCACACCCATCAGCCACACTATACGGAGTGTCAGGCAGACTGTCCGCGCCCCGAGAAGCGAAGGGAAACTGCTGCAAGTGACTGTAACTAGCTACAATACTAATACTACCCTCGTGAGCATCTCCCTGTGTCTGGACAAATGAAGGTGTAGCACAAAGCAGGCCATGTGACTGGCCAGCCGGGATTGACTGCCTGCAGTGGCAGGCTTGAAACATAAACATGGCCTCTGCAATCTATACGTGCGAGCCGTACTTCCAACAAGGCACAGTGTTGTGACGCGGGATACTTTGATGCAGATGTCGATGTTGGAGGACAGCTGGGGCATGACGAGCAGCCGTGCTGTTGAGGGAAGCTGCCTGGCTCAGATGCTTTGGCAAAGCTCCAGGTGACACATCTCACGATTTCATGGCAGACACAAGTGCATGAAGCGTCAAGCCTAGCCTTCGTCACCAGGCCACGACGAACGGAAACGAGCATCGCTTCTCCCCAGGCGTTCCACAACTCTGAGGGCTACACTGACACGGCGCGGTGCTCTGTAAACCGAAAGTTGCGGCAATCAGAAATAACAGCATTTCCGAACAGGGCGTGTGCGGAATGCACGTCTTTTGCTTGCGAGGCAGATTGGCAGCACAATTGCCCGTAGCTTTTCGCTCGCTCGCAAGTGTTTGACACGGAAGATCCGTCGCGGGCCAGCGGAGCCTGATGCCAACAATGAAACAACTGCGGCCGAGGCGTCCACTATGATGGCACCTGTGCCAGAGCGAGAACGCAGCATGCAATGAGATAGAACCGAAAGCACCTTGCCATCTTTCAAAAAGCAAGGCTCACAAAATTTGCAGGTGATGCAGCTCTGCAACAGAGGCCTATCCTGCCACTTGATGCGTCTGCTTTACCACATGGAAATGCCAGCAGCATGTCATCTGGAAGCCAAGTCATATCGCGGCCACAGCAGGGCCGACAAACATATTTACAGAGTGTACAATCCGGCCAGGAGCCATTGATCGGGAAACCCTTGAATCAGATGCGATGTCAACCGAATGTGCTTCCTTCACAAGCATTGCTTGTGGTGACATCCCAGCATGCATAATCAGGTTCAAAGGGCTGACTGACCAACTTCCTCCCAAACACATGCAAGAAAGGCCTGCTGAATGTTCAAAGTGTTCAATTCAAAGGAAAATAGACCCATCAGCAGGTATTCAAGTTTGCACCAGGGAGAGCCGCTGCACATTGCCGAGGTCAAACTGACGATTTCGATTCCAGATGTGTATGAGTCGATGGGTCATCAATGCCTTGCAGTTCTCTCCTTTGCATGTGTGCAAACTTGCTGGGCTTGGCGCAGACAAGGCTGGGCAAAATGCAATGCCAGAATGATACGTCACCTGTGCCATGCCTGTGGCGTCGCAGAAGTTTACTCAGAACCTCAGGAGGTGTCGGAAGGTGTATAGAACGAACCGAATCGTGTGTCGAAGTCAAACTCTCCGAGGAGAAACGGACCGAAAGGGCCCGGGCCTTGAGGAGCACTGAAGGGGAGCCGACCCGCCTGCGCCCCACCGCACTGAAGGCAGGCTTCTCCGCTGTCTTGTTCTATATGGGAAGAACATGTGGCATGGGGGGTGGCGGGGGCGGGGGAAGGTGGGGGGGAAAGGGAAAGATGGCACCACTGCTGGCCATCGCAAGTGACAATTCCGAGCCCTGAAGCCCCGCCCCACCTGTGTCACAGGGATGTAGAACAAAGTCCCGTTTGTCATCGGGCCATGCCTTCAGGCATTATTTTTCCCCTACCATGGAAGTATAACTGGCCGAAGACATGAAAGACAACTTCTTGCAGCGAGGATGGTCGCCTCGTGCTCGCCGTCGCATCCCACAAAGTGCTCGCGGCACTCCTGCTTGAAAAAGCATCTTGCTCGTATGCTTCAACCTCATCAACGGGTACCCTACCGTTGTCCCTGACTAGGGCCCTGTCCTGTCTGGCATGGATGCGAGCGATGCAGACTGCCCACCGGCTTGCAGCCCCATGAGGCGCCTGCGCAAAGCAGTTCTTGGTCTGCCGCGCTCGGCTCAACTTGGCTCTCAGGGCCTCTGAGAGCCACGGGCGGCTCGGGAGGCCACTGCCAGGCCACGCATTGCTCGGTGCACGCACGAGGCCGAAGCCTTCGAAACGCGCTGTCCCAAGCGACTTCTCTCGAGCCAGCGGCAGAATACAAACGGTACTGCAGCAGCATCAGAATCTGTGACAAGATGTCATATGCGAACATCCCAACCAGCTAGGGCAGCCAGGGAGAATCCAGCACGTCAGCGGGACTGTGCGTTCGTCTACTTTCTTGCCGATGCTACCAATCTTACTCTTATCACACCTGCAGGAACTACAGTACGATGTCTTGGTCGCCGGCCCGCTGCCGTCATTCTGAACAGCGTTCATCACCTGTGTGACCCACGAACGTACACGAACCTTCACACCCGGCACAGCCCCCGCCTGGTTTAGCAGCTGCTGTGAAACGGGAAGATGCACTGCAAGACTTGAGGCAGGAGGCAGATTGTGAGCAAAAGAATAAGCAAAAGCTCGCAAAGGCCGATTTCTGGTGATCGCAGCATGCCACATGCCGCGCAGGCCCTAGACTAGACGAGTAAACGATACTAGACGTGTGCAAGTCGAAGGCAGTGCTGCTATTTTCGTACCCGGCTTCACAAGCCACGGCGCGGTGTTCCTAGCACGACGGTGAAACAGTGAAACCTCGTCATAGGGCCTCCTGCTTTTCGGCGACCCGTTGACTGACGGACCTCTGCCGCGTGCTTGGTGCATCCGACTGCCACCCTCGTAGGGTCAAAGTACCCTCCAAGCCTTAGCCAAGTGGCACCTGCCGTCACGCGCGTGATGGCGAGAGCACTCGTCCTGGCCGCATGGTACGCATGGGCAGGCGCAGACAGCACTCCGCACTCCGAGGTGAGCCTGCCTATGGCTGGACTCACAGCTGGCAGCTGCAGAAGTCTTGCAGGATTTATCCGTGGAGTCTCCGTGGGGACCGTCGGGCCCGGGAGGACACGGCGGACCCGTTCCACCTGAATCTCGGAAAGCACATGAGGCAGGGCCTGAAGCGACGCTCTCACAGGCCTTGAACTTGGGAGGCGCCATGGGCTTCTGAGGTAGAGCCAACCTGAGCTGCCGAATGCCATGAGAGCTCTCGTGCACTGCACCCTGAACACGAAGAGTAACTCGAAGTTGCTGATCTTGTAATCCCGCCACGAGGTGTCCATACCCATCTCCTCGGGTTCAGATTTTGCACACCACAACTTTGCCAGCTGCGACCAACATCCTGAGCTTGAGACATCAACTCTGTACGGGGCTTCATCCAGAATGTACGGCTCGTGGTCCTTTCAAACTGGAAACCAATCTGCAGATGTTCGTGTTGACGAGCGAGGGAGACTGTCTCGTCCCTCTGCGGAGATCAAGTCACGCTTCAGTCTTCAAGTTGCTGGTCCTGAAACATCTCCGCAATCTCCTCAGTGGCAGCAGTAGGTGCGGTTGGAAATATTGAAGAGCAAGAACAAGCTTTCATGCATCGCACATCTCACACCGACTGCGTCTCCTCTGATGGCTCCTCTCCGATTCGGTGCGTCGGCTTGGTGCGCGCCTTGATATGCCTCTGCCGCTCCTCCTCCATCTCTTGGAGCGCCTTCGCACGGATGTTTCTGTACAAGCGACACACTACCGAAGTGTTCGTGCAGGTCCGGCCTCCTTCAGCCTGCGATTTAAGATTGCCAGGATCTGAAGTTGGTCCGATGTCTTGTCTTTGTACCTCGTCAACCACACCGTCGAACATGCTGGGTCATCTGGGTGTGGGATGCTCTTGGGGGTTAGAGTTTGAGATCCTCACTCGATCGACAAAGCCATTGCAACCAAGCCGCTGCTCAAACTGCTGGGCGTAGGCATGCATGTGCTCAACGAAACGTTCCCTCGGCTGACTGCAACCGTAGTCCTACGAAATGCATGCATACAAGCAAAGGCTCATAAAAAAAGATATGAATGTGTGTATACATGTGTATATGTATGTATGTATGTATGTATGTATATATATATATCTATATCTATATCTATATATATATATATGTGTGTGTGTGTGCGTGTATGTCTACATACTTTACACCTACCTACCTACCTACCAGCCTACCTTTCCTACATACATACATACATACATACATACATACATACTTACTTTCTTTCTTTCTTTCTTACTTAGCACTCACACACGACAAGGTCAGGCGAGGTTTCAATACATACTTACACACATGCACACATCCGTACATGCATACATCATACATGCATACATCCAGCCAGCCAGCCACGCATGCATGCAGACATACAATGCAAAGGTATCCTCTGTCTGGTCAAGCTTATGTACTCATGTGTTCCCTATTTGCCCACGCATGTAGCTCTATAGCTACGACATGCTACGACTATGACTATATGCTGCTTGTGCATGTAAGCCTCAAATGTAAGCAGGCATGCATCTATTCATTGTGCTGCTCTGCTTGTCTTCGCCTGTACGCCAAAAGTTCTTTGCAAGTGTATACTTGTCTAATGATCTACCCATTCAACTTCATTCAACCATTCCGCCTGTGCGCCCATCTATCTATCTATCCGTCTATGCATCCATCTATCTATCTCTGTATGTTCTCGTTGGAGCATGGCCATGCAGACGCCCCTCCCTCTCGCATGCAAGTGCACGCCTGTGTAGTTCGATTTGTTCGGACCGTTCGCAAGTACTTTCACCTATGCTTGCCTGTCCGTTTGTCTGCCTGCCTGCTTGTCTGTCTGTCCCCGTCTCCGTCTCTGTGTTTTGCTTTGCCTTGCTTTACTGAGGGTTAGAGCTAGGACCAGGGGCAGGCCCTCTAACCCCGGTGTCTCCGTCTCTGCCTCTTTCGTCTGTGTCTGTCTGTCACTGTCTGTGTGTGTCTGTCTCTCTGTATGGCAGCTTGACTCGTGGGCGACTGTTGATTTCTCAGTGATCGGCGGGAGCGGTCGGTGTCCACCCACATCAGTTTGACGACGGGAATCCCCGAGTATCTGAATCTGAAGTGATGCCGGCAGTAGAATCTCCTTGCTGATGCTGCAGCAAAACGTGCGATGCATGAATCACAACCTTCTTCTTTCAACCAGCTGTGCATCATAAATACTAAAGACAATGAGCTAAGACTTAAAAGAAAGCTGCCTTGTGGAGCCAACGTGCTCAGCGTAAGTTCGGGAAAAAGCCGAACGTGCCTCAATGCGTATCGACATGTCCATCTTCGACTTATCCATGCCTGCTTCGATGAAGCACTGCGGCACTGTCGGTAGTCTTATGAGTTTGCCCGGCTACTGGTAGGAGCTGGCAGTGGGCTCACAGCCCCCAGAGGTAAACATCTTTGCCATGCGATCGTGGTCTCCCATGAATGCCAACATGCTCCAGGATGGCAATAATATAGACCCGCACATGCCATGAGAGGTACATGCACACCCGGATTTGCCACTGTTGATGATTGTCCTGGATTGCCCTGGCGGTCGCCCAACCGAAGACATGTCTTGCTTGCGTTTTGTGTGCTCTGTTTGTCTTGGCCACACACACATGTTGGCCCTTTTGCTCCGGAGTGTCTCTCTCTCACTACCTGCGGCGGTTTCAAGCTGTCCAGGGCATGTGCGGCTGCAAAGGGCCAAGGATCTGCTGCTGCTGCATTTCTCTGTGTAGTCCTTGCCACCGGATTTCGGCCTCACGCTTCTCCTGGTGACAGCCGGATTGAGCACTCTGCCTTTAAGGGCTCGTGGCGAGCGGTACTTGGCCTCCTGAGCCGCCACTTCCTGGCGCTTCAGTTCAGCTTCCAGGCTGGAGGTTTCCCGGCCCAGCTGCTTCACGAGCTCGTCTCGGCCTGGTGTCGCACGGGGGAAACGGCAGCACTGCTAGAAGACAACAGGGCGAGGGCAGGAGAGCTGATGCTTCAGCTGGGCGACTTCGCCTGCCAGCAGAAACGCTACACGTCGCATAAAGAACTGCACATGAAGGATTTGCTGATTAACCTTCAATGTCTTGAAGCCAACTCGCAGGACTATTCCACAACACATGGCAAAAGACAGCTGTCACTGCGCTCAACTGAGCACAACTTACAAGTTCCTGGCATCTCAGACTGAAGTGAAACACTGCTCGGCGAATGTTCTTCTACCAATGCATACAACATTCAGCATAGCTCTACCGCACGTACGACGCCCACAATAGCTCTCGCAACCTCTCGAAAGCTCCAATTGCTGCTGCAGCGAATGCACTTGCTCCTCGAGGTGCTCCTGTTTTCACGAAATGTGTCTACACTGATCAGCATGCAAAAACATTCTGACCGTCCTTGTGCTTGGCAGCAGTCAGGTAGGATTCTTGTGAAGCCACGACACCTCGCATCTGAGGTGTGAAGGAACAGGTTTGGGTGATCTTGAGCTGGGATGTGCCACCTTTCAACTGCGTGATCTCGGCCTTCTGCGCTTGCACCAGGCCCTGCGCAGGTCAAGCGTGGCGGCAAATCTTCGCCGCCTTGGATGTATTGTCCTCCGTGTCCAACACATTCTCCCGCAGCTCTCCCAACATCTTTCCGTATTTGTCCTTTCGCCATTGCAGCTCGTCGGGTATGTGTCACATTGGCATCCACCGATGTGCCGCTACCCAGCCACCTCCATTTTCTCTGTCATCTCATCTCGGATCTTCCGTACCTGTGACATCCAAAAGAGGGACGGTCAAGGAATCGCCACTTTTGCATCACCTGTGCTGGCCTCAGTTTCCACGACCACTGCGTGGTTCCGGAACTCTTGAAGAAAGGCTGCCCGTGCCCTTTGCAGATGTGCCTGCTTTGTGGCACACAGCGGAAGCATGCCAGTATGAAGCTGCAAAGCTATGCACAGACAACTGCACCCCAGTCAACATTGCACCTGTGACGTGGAGCCAAAGTGCGTTTGTGTCAGTCTTTCTACCGTACGCAGTACGCACGAAAACCATTGCCTGGAACTTCTGCTCAATGTACTGAAGAGTGCCTCTCTCCCGAAAGTTCTTCATCTCCTGGCATCCAGACACCCGCACCATCTGAGTCAGACAAACCTCTCGAGTAGAATCGAAGCC